CTTTGTAAACAAAAAATCTGACACCCAGAGAGGTTAGATAACTTGTCAGGGACAGCAAGTAAAAGGAGCAGCAAGATTTGAACTCTTGACTCCAAAACCCATGCCCTTAACGTTTCTGCTACTGTTATCCCTAAAATAGCTTGAGTTGTTGCCTATTAGCTTCTTCCTAGATCTTGATTCTGAAGGCAAGACTTCTTGGCCTCATTTATGAATCCTGGCACTTCCAGAGTCCATGTTTCTATTGGATCTTGGTTGTGGGAATTTTTCAGTATATTCATGTCATATAAGAAGAAGTAAGCCAGTTTGGAGGACAAGCAGAAGCAGTTGTCAAGACGTAGTCCATTAGAAATAGGAGTTCTAGCCATTCTTGACAGCTGTGTAGGCACATACATTCAGCGAAGGGAACGTTTCTGACTGGGACAATATTGTTCTTAGATTGTGATGTAAACTAGTGGAGCTTCAGGCTTCACCTGCCTGTCACTAGACAGAAAAGAAAGTTTAACCTCTTCCATTCTCTGCCCCACTGCTAAAATGACAAGTGTGCCTTTGATTGCTAAAGGGTGGCCAATTCTATTATAATGATGAGATACAATGGAGTGGAACAAAGTGGAAGTAACCTTTTTAGTTCCTTTGCCCTTTAAGAAAATATCTATCTATCTACCTATCTAATCTATATATCTCCATTACTAAGTTTTAAAAGGTCAGTTGTGACTCCATAGGAAGAAGATTGAATTTCTGAAGTTTTAAGCACACGCTTATGGAGGAAAAAGTGAAAAGATAATATTGATTCTATAGCGCAGCAAATGCTTATTGGTGATCTCCTCAGTAATTTATGTATTCTGTAGTAGACCCTAGGAACACACAAGAGAGTAAGGTAGAGGCTCATGTAAAGAAACCAATTGTCTTGATTTGCCTGAGTTTGAGGGGGTCCCTAAGGTGCAGGAAACTCAGTGCTAAAATTGGGAAAATTCTAGGCAAATTCATCCTATCTGCACCCTAAGAGCTCAAAGTTAGAAAGGAAAGCCGTGTTAAAAATATACATCTGTGATGTAGTGTGATGTGTAGAAAATGAAATAATAATAGAAAACACTCCTATACCACTGTCTATGGGCTAGACACTGTTTAGAATAATACTTCTTTTAGTCTGTAGGGTTCCTATAATGAGCTGGGTTAACATATAAACAACAGGAATTTATATTGCATGATTCTGGAGGTAGGAAAGTCCACCATCGAAGTGCCTGTAGGATCACTGTCTGGTAGGTGCTGCTATCTGGTTCATAGTTTTCTTGCTGTGACCTCACCTAGAGGAAGGGGCTGGCTAGGTCCCTGGGGTCTCTTTTATGAGGGCAATAATTTCAGGAGGACTCTGCTTTCATGAACTTGTTATCTCTCAAAGGCTTCACTTCCCAAAACCATCAAGTTGAGAGTTAGGATTTCAGCATATTGATGAAAGAGGGGAGCATGAGGATTCAGTCTATTGCAATACATTGATATGGTCAACTTTTTATATCCTATAAAGAAGTACTAATATCTCCATTTTATATAGTAAGAAATCAAGGCATGCTAAAGAACAGATGATGGACTCACAGGAAACAGGATCTGTATCTGTTTCTTAACTTTTAAACATTTCTTTCAAAAAACCTGAGGCTTAAGTAGCACAGAAGGTTGAGTAGTTGACTTTGAGGGAGACAGGAGGGGATCATGGGAAAAGTGGAGGAAAACAGGCCAGAGAAAGGATTTTTGGAAGATGAAGGATGAACTAGCCAGCAAGGATAGAAAAGGTCATTCCAGACATAACAACTCAGTTTAGGCGCTAGAGATGGGAAAGGTCATGGTATGGCTATGGTGTGGGCCTCAGTGCTGGAGGCAGGAAAAATGGAAATTCTCTGGGCTCTGACATGCATAGCAGTACATTTTATCAACCATGCTAGGACCTTGGGAAAGTTCTCCGGAGATGTAGGAAGGCAAAAAATCTGGGGCATCGCAGACGTGATAAGATAGCACAGACTTTAACTGTGCACAGCAGAGGAGCACCAGATACCCTTAAGGGATATGCCAGTTACCTTTATTGGATCATTGTACTTGTATTATTGAAGTGTCACACTGTACTGTATAAATACATACAATTATTATGTGTCAGTGAGAAATAAAACATTTTTTAAAAGTTGAGATTTGCATTTTTACAGCAATGAGGAAATTGTTTTCTAAAGGGGATGGGGTGTGGGGAACAGTGATAGATGGTAACGAAGTATGAACCTCTCAGGAAAAAAACAAACATAAGAGCTAGAAACTTCAACAGGGATAGAGAGAGATGGACAGATTGAAAAGACAAAGAAATTAAAATGGCCCCAATTGTGTTAGTGATTAGAGGGAGAGGCTAAAGGGATCAGCAAACCTGAAGATAAATTCTGTGGGCCTTGGGCTGGGGATATAGCTCAGTGGCACAGTGCCTGCTTGCCAAGCACAAGATCATGAGTTTAAGTCCCACTACAAAAAAAGAAAAATTCTGTGAGTCTTATTGGTTGACTGGGTGCATTATGGATCAACCAGTAATTTTACACCAAATCAAACCAAACCAAGCAAAAGAGGACATAAAATCGTGAGTTTCAAAGGGAAAGGGAAAAGGTAGTGAGTTTGGTATTTTACATGTAACTCAAGGAACTGTAACATCTCTAGATAGTATTGTCTAATACAAGCACTTAATAAAAAGAAGGAAATATCTTATTTCTCCTGTCTAGTGAAAGAATAATTATAAGGGAAGTTCTTGAAGAGAGGTACAAGTAAGTAGAAAGCAGAATAATTAATGTAATAATAATTTAGCGTTCTTTGGAGTATATTCAAGGTAAAAAAATTAATACATGCATTTATGATAAGATATGGCTTAATTTATTTCCTCTAAGAATGTTTTTGCTTTCAAAAGACAGCAATATCTAACTGAATAATTAATGAAAGAACTGCAGGTACCATAATCCTAAAGGGGACCAAATTTTGTAAATAAATCTTCCAGAACTCAACTCCTAGCACATTTATGGCTGCTAATTCCATATGTGGGGATGTGGGAGTAACTGAAGCAACTGAAAGTTGTTCTAAATTCTATATACCAACTCCATCCATACCTGAATTTTGCCCCTAAAAACACTTGCATATTTATTTCAAAACAAAAATCTTTAGGATGTTGGAATTATAAGCACAGAAAATCAGTTACTACTGATTAGTATTTTAAAATGTCCTGGTTATTTCATAGTCTATCTATGTGAATTGGACTTTTTAAATGCCACACTTAGGTCTATTTTCCCCCTCTTATGGCCTAAGTGTGTTCATGTTTTCTTTTGAGTGCTCTGTGTTCCTTAGTTGAGAGTCCCACATATACTTTCCTCTGTCAGTTTCTAACATAAGGTCTCTGGATGAAAGTGTGTGGGCAATGGTCTTGATTACCTAATGTACCCTTTCACTGAAGAGCTTAAACTAGTACCTCAAGAACACATCTTTTAATTGAATTCAGCATGTGTTCATTAATACAATGTGGAATGAAGGGATGGAGGATAGAAAATTGAGACTCAAGGAGGCTAAAAGAATTTTTCAAAGACACAAACATGAGAACCAGAAAAAGTGATCTACTATTCTGACATCTTACCAGTCCTCTAACTGGGAGGTAATTTTGTCTCTTTCCATTTAGAATGCCATCATTTGTACAACAGCTAAGTCACATGGGAGAAATGATCCTTCTCTTGTGATTAAGCAGCATGTGGATTCTTTCTACTACGCAAAACTTTGCCCATCTCTCAGATTTCCTGACTTCAGTTTTTATTTAGAGAATCATGCTGCTAACTGTTCTAACATCATCCATCTTTGTCAACAACCAAGGCTACAACTTCATCTGTATGACTTGTGATATATGGCAATAGAGTACACCAAAGACATTAAACTCTATATGACATTTATATGGACTCTGAGCTCACCAGAGAGATTGATGCTGCCATAAACCCTTGTGGTAGCTATGCAGGCAAAAGACTAAGGAGACTGGTACAGGAAGAGAAAAGTAATGCCTTTCTCCATTTATTTTTCCCCTCTGCAGAAGTTGACTTACATCTCATTTAGGAAATGGGAAATCAAGGAATATGGGAATTTATGGAACCCAGCACAGAACAAACTCACCCTTGATTATCAGTGGTACTTCTTGTGGCATTAGCCAAGCCAAAAGCCAGCACAGCTAATAGAACACTTACAGTGTGCCACTTTGAATCCATTGCATTCTACCACTTGCATAATTAACAAAATAAAGAAGATAGGTCCAGAGGTGGTAGTAGGTCAAACAAGAGTGTAAATGCATGTTCACCATGTTCTTCTGGCAGGTATCTTTTTTTTTTTTTTTGTATTAGTACTGGGGATCAAACTCATGACCACGTGGCGCTTATGCTGGTGAGCTAAATCCCCAGCCCCTCTGGCAGGTATCTTTAACACTGTGATTATGATGTTATTTATGGAGATGCTCACCCAGGATGGACAGAGTGCTGGCCTTACACTTTGCATGCCCAGACTGCTAACATAGTAACATGCAGAGGTTTGTAATTCAGAATTACCAGCATATTGAGGCCCATCTTTTACTTGTACCAACAGGTATTTTATAGGTACTCAGGAACCTGACTGGAAAAATGATTGTGTACAACCAAAGACTAATTTATTTTTCAGAGCTAGTTCTATTCAATTATGCAAACTCTTAATATGATTAAGCCTGCTGCAAAGAAATTGCCAAAGTATCAGAAATAGGGTGTCCCCACCCCATTCTTGTTGCTCCACATGGATGTGTCTGTGCTGTTGCAGGACTGCTGTGTATATGCATGGTTGCATTCTTCATGGACCACATGCAGCTAACTTTGGAAGATGCAGATTTTTAAAAAAATATCGTTTACACCATAGCAACATAAACATGTTTAAAAAATGATCAGTGACCAAGAAACCCCATGTTCACATGAAGAAAAATAACAATAAATTTGACTTACCAGCTTAGGCTATTCGAGACAGCAGAGGAACAAGTTGTTGGTAATTGTCTAGTGCTTTCATTCAATAAATCACATTGGCTTCGCTTTCTTCTGTGGCTCAGCTTCTGCGCAAAGCAAACAAACCTCCTTCCTATGCTGTGTCAAGAATAAAATGCGAACAGGATCACTACAGGCAAGAGCTGAAGTCCATGATCACTAAGCTACTTTTAAAGCAAAATAAAGGACAAATGATGCACAGGATGAGGCGGGGTGGGGAAAGCAGCTTGTCTCAGAATCTAGGCGTATTCTCAGGACTGCAGCTTGGGTGAAAGCTTGATTTCTCAAGCTCGTGTGTGTGTACTGAAAGGATGCCATGACTTCAGTGTGTTTTGCCTATTGTATCTGTGAGGACCGCTCAGATTGGCATGTGGGAACAAGCTTCATGGCATACTGAATCAGAACCGACTGTCACTCAGGGGTATGCAAAAGGGCAGCAAGGCAGTCAGCTTCTCACCGCGTAAGTGGCAGGAGAATTGTCTTTCGGTAACAAAGATTCTATCCAGCAATATGTGAATGTGGCTTTTCTGGGACAGCCAGCCCACTACTGGGGATCAGAAGCATGCAGGTAGTAGCCACATACTCTCACTACAGAGCACCTGTGCAATTGCTTATATGCTTCTGGCAGGAGTGAGGGGGCATGGTAAGAAAGCTCTAAATCCAGCCAGGGTGGCTCAGTCCAGGCTTAAGTGTATGTCTAATCAGGGGTGAAAAAGTAGTTACTAGACATGGGACTTAACACAGAGAAGCTCAGTCTTGGGAAGAAGATCCTGTGCTTCCTCTGTGATAGCCACAGATGGTAACATGCAGTCCTGGGTCCTGTCACAATGCTATGGTTTATATGCCTAATGAAACATACAAAATGGATTTTCTAGAAAGCCACATGTGTAGGTATTTTTTGTTTATCTCTGACATGTTCAAGACCTTTGCCTGCTGCTGATTATGTTAAGAAGGCTTTTCTGATAGTATGAAAAACACAGATACACACACACACACACACACACACACATGCATGCACAGCTCTAGCAATAGCATTACAAATCTTTCTAAAAGTCTATTTAGATACTTATTTGGCAAATGAATGCTTAGCTTCCTTGATGACTTCAGATGTAATTTTGGACCCTTCTACTAGTACCGAGTCTGGTCAGTTATTTATGCCTGAAGCCAAATGAACTCCTAAATTTGAAATACAGCTCTGTGGTAAATCCAGAGGGTGTCTTGGTCACAAGGGTGTTAATCTCTGGCTTGGTAATTAGCTAGAATCCCGAGGATAGGATCTGATGTCTCTGAGACACTATGCTCCAACAGGTGGCTACTCCAGAGCTGGGAGCTGAAGTAAGACTCTGACTCAGAAAACTTAGATTTTCAAGGACAGAGCTCTGTGCAGCTTTTCACAATTATCTTACCTTTTCTGTTCTTTTAAAAAAGGCAACCCCCCCCCCAACTTCTCTCTGAAATATTTATTCTCCCCTTCTGCCCTTGGACTTACTTGCTTAGGTAGCATTGCCATGTGTAATCCAAATTGGGACTATGCATGCCCTTGAGATTCAGAAGGTTATTTTTTTCAGCAAAGATTCAGAAAAACTGTCCCTTCGAGGCTTAATTATTGAAGCGTAAATGATTTCCAGTTAAAATGTTTTACTCTGATGTGTAGGAAAATTGACCTTGATGCAGATTTACTTTATGTTCTGTCTGCTAGGCTAAAATAAGTGACTCTGAGTAACTCTATTAAAATCAGGGTATTGTTTTGGGATTGTGAAATTTTTCACACCTCAGATTTTCTACTATAGCAAAGACATTGTCCCTGATTTTAGATTCTTATGCAAAACTAAGGGACAATGTCTTTGCCATAGTTGTACCACTTCTTGGAGCAAATATAGGCTGAGCATTCCTAATACGAAAATCTGAAGTGTGAAAAATTTCACAATCTAAAACTTTTGAATATTGATATGACTGGGCTATTACACAACATAAAACATTTTATGTACAAAAATATTTAAAATATTGTATAAATTGCTTTCAGGTTATGTGTAAAAGGTATATAAGAAACATAAATGATTTGTCTTTTAAACCTAGGTCCCTGGTCCCAAGATATCTCATATGAATATGGAGCTATCTCAAACTCTGAAATTTGAAATCCTTGCCATTCCAAGGTTTTTGGGTAAAGAATATTCAATCTGCGCTCAAGTGTAAGTCAAAATGTCCCAGTCCGTTGCAAAAAATAATCATTAGTTCATTTTTCATTAACCCACTATTTAAGCCATTTATATTATATTATTAGCAGGCTAGATACATGATGTCACATACTTTAATGTTTCCCAGAACCTGCTGATGAGATATAAAATCCTTGACATATCTTAGGAAAATTCTCCATTGTCTATACTCTGATCCTGTGTTCTTCTGTATCTTAATTTCTCAAACCCTTTTATTTGCTGTAGTTTGGCAAGACTCTCTCTTCCTACCTGACTTCTGCATGTGATATGCTACCTGGATACTCCATCTGGCTAATTTCTGTATAGCTTTAGAGTCTTGATTTACATATCACATACAGCTGAAATTACCTGATGCTTGAGTCATTGAGCAGCAGTGAGGAGTTTTATAGTTCAGTTCTGTTTTAGGACTATTACTTTGATTTCAGGGGAAGAATGATGTAGAACAGTCAGACCAAAAGAGGACCTTAATAATGACTACAGCACAGACTTGGAATTTAAAAAGAAGCCTTGCTTTTTTCTATCTCCTTTTCCTATTACCCCTCCCTCCCAGTCATAATACTGGTGCTCTCATTTAAGAACATTGAGAATGTTTGTTCTATAGTTAGAACTTCCCCTCCACCCAATTCCACCCCCACGGTTATTTCATTTGCTTAGGTTATTTGTGATTGTGCCTTACTGATTAGTTCCTTTGAAGAAAGAGATTACATTAAAGAAACTTCCTCCTCTAACTCTTTACACTTTCTAGCCTAGTGCCTTGCAGCTAGTAAGTGCTCAATGAATATTAAGAAATAAGAGCATTTATTATATGTAAGGCATTAGATGAAGCAATATGGGGGGAGTACAAAAGTGAATATTTTTTGAAAAATAAGAGAGATCTACTTAGAAAGATGCAAACAATTATAAGGTGTAATTAAAAAAGTACCATTTCTGAAAGTCTGAGCAATTTGCTAAGGGAACAGAAGAGAATTATTGTATCCTTGTGGAATACCTAGGGTAAGACATAAATTTAAATTGATCACTTTTTGATAGCTATTTTCTTCTCACAGAGAAGGTTGTATTTGAATTGGGTATGGAGGAATAAAGATTCCTGCAGGTCGAAAAGATGAGAGAGGAAGGAAACCAAGGCGCCGAGCGCCTGAACTATTTGGGGAAGGACAGGTAGTCCAGTGGATAGGACTAGAATGAACGATCATGAACTGATCTAATGGGACTTGGCTCAAAATGGACAGGGGCTGGACTGGGAACATTTTAGCACTATATTAAAGAGTCTAGACTTTCTGATATAGGTGACAGGAATTTGAGGAGAATGGTGGTGAAATTGAATAAGACCCCTGAAATCTAGCTATTGTGAACAATGCACTGAAATAGTGAGAATCTGCAAGAAGACAAACACATTGTGTGTGGTCATGCAAAAATTGAAATCAGGAGATTAAAAATGAAGTGTGCTTTGAAGGTAGAACTTATGGGACTACTGAAGGATAGATATTTGACAGGATAGGACGGGTAGAGAGAAACAGAGAGAGAGAAATAGAGAAAGAGTGAGAGAAAGATTGATTGAAGGTGGTTTTTAAAGTTTTAATACATAGATGCTGATAATTCCAGGACATGCACATAGAGGTAGTAGTAGTCTGGGCATTCATGGTCAGTACACTGTTTTAAGCTAAAGAAAAGAAGAGGCAGCAGAGCCCTTGAAACCATAAAGATGTGCCTAGAGTGCTTTGAAGAAGTCAGAAGTCAGCCTGCACGGCCACTTGTGGAGAGTGATGTAGTGGTGCAATTTCCTCCCTTCTCCCCAGCCCCCTCAGACAGGGTTGTTTAGCTGAGTGGAAAGACCCTGGGTTTGTTGGATGGGAAATTTGAGTGTATGTTTCCCAGATATTTCTCCCTTGCTGTGTGACCTTGGGCACATTACTTTTTATCATCAGACCTCAGTTTTTCCACCTGTAAAATGAGTTGGCCAAGTTAAATTCAGAAGTTCCTTTTAACATAGTTCTTTTATTTGTAAAATGTAGTGCTTAGAATTTCAGAACACTTGTGAAATTAGGCCAGAGTCTACCAGTATCAGTCACCAGTAATGCCTAATCTCTCCCCAAAATCCTGTCTATATTTTCAGAATGTCCATGCATCACTGCAAATGCACGTCTGCCCTGCAGTTAGTTACATGAAGTTAGTTTGTAAGACATGAATTTAAACTGATCACTTTTTGATAGCTATTTTCTAACAATACAGTGTTGCACTTTTGGGGGAGTGAGATGGGAGTTCCTTTGCATTAGAATCTTAAAGCAAATTATGAGAAGAAAGTGGCAGTCCCTTTCTGTGGTCAGCAAAGAATTTGGCCAGCCTACTTCCGCTCTCTAATCTCTTGACCTTCCTTAAGGGCGCGGCTCCTCAATAACTGGCTCTGATTCTTTTTTCAAAAATAAAATGTGCTATTTATCAAAAGCAGCTAAAAAGGGTCCAAAAATTAGGAAAAGAAAACGAACACCCCAGGGTGTAGCTGAACATGCTTATTATGTGTGAAGTTGTTAGTAATGAATGTGACACTCTTCCTCCTCCTCCCTTTCCATTTCTAAACCCCAAAGAAAAAAGAAAGGGGTTGGGGAGGGCAGTGGCTATTCAATCTCGAAGAGACCTTTTCAAAAGGTGCAGACTGTTATTTCTTGATTATTTTGTTTTAAGCCCCAGTTGACCTTCCAGACTAAAAGGAATGGTCCCAGAGTATCCTGAGAAACACTCTTTTGGAATTTCTCTCTAAGTCTTGGAAGCCTGGACACATGGCATTCAAAAGGACTCTTTGAAAAAAGCTGGTCCATATTTCTTCTTGGGTGAGTTGATGACAGAATGTTTATCTGAACTAATCATGGGAGATTTTCCAGTGTTGCTTTT